CAGAATGTGAATAAAACTGTAATCCTGAAATTATGTTATCTCGAAAACAAAGTGCAAAGTGGAAGCGAATTTACTAAATTCTTTATAATTTAGTGAATTGAAATAGATTTTGAGTATCAAAATTTATGGTGGGAATCACTAATGAAGATCACAGATAAGGATCATTATAGTTCCACTCATAGGAGATACTTGAAAAAAGTATGAAGGGAATCAAAAAAGATATGCATTTCAAGAAAAAATTTCAAAGAAATATTTTTATAAAAGTTGTTAAATCAAAATTTAATTATTGGAAATATTGCAAATTTACCTCAAACCTACATCGGTGTCAAAACCAAATCGTGCAAAAAACTGCTCGAAAAATACCTGATCATACTTAGTTACATGCAGTACCTATAATATCACATCTTTATCGCAGGAAAAATTTCTTCATAAATAAAAATTTGAAGAAAATTAAGTTTGATTAAATTACCAGTCGTCTTAAAGAGCTGACAGATGTCAAATAAACTAAGGTACGGATGTCACAATTGAGCCATGTAAAATCTTCCAAATTTTTCAGCTTCAGAAACAAGTCCTTTAAATTCCACTTTTTAAACGGTCCCTATAAAAACACAATTATAGAACACAACTAAAATTAAAAGCATAGATTTGTATATAATCTAAAATTTGTGGACAGAGTTTACAGCCAAAATCACTAATTACCAACTTAAATTCTATAGACATATTTTATGCATATTGCAGATGCGAAGTTTTTTTTTCTTATCCAAACTACCACTCAGATCTAAAGAGATGTGCTAAAACAAAAAACCCCACGAGATGGGACATAAACTATAACGATTAAAGGTTTTCATTAAATTTTCCGAAATCGGCAAAAAAGCAAGAAGAATATTGTTCGCTTACCTTTGGCATCATAGTTCCAAGATCTACAACCATAAGATACTCTGCTCGAACCATAGCTATATCAACGACTGTTTTTTCACGCAATATACCACACCAACTTCGCACAGCTAGTAAATCTTTCATATCGAACAATATCTGACGCATAAATGAGTCAAAACGTTTTCGTGCCGTAGATGTTTCACCCCAACGGCAATTGTAACACAACATTAGCTGCAAAAATTGATCTGATTTCAGCTTTCTTTATCATTTCAAATTCGTTATTCATTCCTTACACTTTTAATTATTTATAACTAACTCATATACCTTCTCGACATTTAGTGGTCCAAGATCAGTTAATGAAGAAATGTTAGCATTAGCCCAATGTAGAAACGATATAATCCGTATGAAAACAAAATCGAAATCATTTTCCCCAGCATTACTGCGACTATTCCATAAAGTCCGAATTTCGCGAAAATAACTCTGAAGATATACGTTTATAAACACTTTTAGTACCAAAAAACTCGCAAGGAAAGTCTTTTTTCATTCAAATTACTTCACCGAAATATCCGATCGTTCAATGAATCTCTAATATGCGATCTAAGTAAAAACTTACTGAAACAGTTATTTCACGGGCAATGTTCAACATTCGGAGACCACCATTTTTACCTCGTCGGCATAATTCATTTCCTGGAAGGAAAAGAAAAGCTAAATCTATTGAATTTAAATGATCAGAGGGAAGGAACTATAAAAGCAGTAAAACGTACGTATAGCATAGTAAAGATTCATATTTTTCAGTGCTTGCAATTTTGCAAGAGGTCGTAATAAGTCAAATCCTATACAAACATATAATTCCCACGGAATGAACAAACCATCTGAGTCAAAGATGCTGCCAGTAAAATCAGCACCACTTCCTGAAACACATAAGAATAAAGTCAGATGAAAACATTTAGCAGGAAAATAGACATCTTTTGGTAGCTTGTTGCAATTTATTTCTGATCAGTCTTTCAAAATTTGAATAGAACGTGAAAAATTTTCGAATCATAGAATGAAAAACTCTCAACCTCCCTTCCCTCTTCCTCCTTCCTCCAATCTTATGCACATATCCATATCTCGCTTATTCAAATATTTAATTATCAAATATTTAAAAGATTGTAAAATTTTAGTGCACTGAAGATACTCGTTGTACTGCAACACGGCAGCTCATTTGAAGTCCGAAGCAATCTTTCTTTTTTTTGAAGAAGAAAAGATTCAGGTGATTCCTTCTTGTGTACTTGCACTAATTTGTTATTTGTCATTTCATTTGACGAAATATCCTGAAAACTGAAAATTTCTAGAAAAAAGAACTAAGATAATAATCGCATCAAGAATAAAAACGCCAAAATTTTAGTGCAGTTGTCTCTAAATGAAATTTTGGTTAATCTGCAAAGCAGCAATTTTGAGAGAAGATTAACTAAGCAGAACAATTTCGGTGTAGTTCTCATCACTAAATAATTTCGAAACTGAACTCGCTGCTAATGGTCTTTCATTCATTTTTTAATACGTTCTCGGGGATATCATACCTGGAAATCCATAAATACAGGTAACAACGAGCCGTTTTAAGTATAAGTGAACATCATATGTAAATTTAATCGGTGAAACCTCTATAAATTATAAAACCTGAACAGCCAAAAATATTATACGAAGAAACACTAAACATCAAATTAGTACGAGTTTTGTAATCAAATGAAGAAAATTCCCTTACTACTAATTGCAATTGAAACTTTACAGTTATTGCGTATAATAGAATTCAATATCGAGCAAGAATTACTATTTGAATATTTTTTGCTGTTCTTCAATGAAACATACTTCAACTTTCTTAAAGACTTCTTATTTATATCAAATTCCTAACCTGATGAATGCCTATAGTCGTCGCAGCACAGGACAATGCTGGCCAACCTTCTTTGCTATTGATTTCAGTCATTCCAAACATATATTCCGAATTAATCACTCCGAGGATTAATGACGGGTTTTCATCTCGTCTGAAAACTTCTGATAGATTTAAATAAATTCCATGTGGAAGTCATGGTACAAATTAATTCAACCTAGTTACGCTTGACAACGTAAGAATTTGAAAAATTTCTCTTCAAATTCCTGAAATGCTTATCGTACACAGCGGATCACAAAATAAGATTCTTAACGGCACAAGCTATAAAGGACTTCCTTAATTGAACTGAAATTAATGTCACTAATTGAGTACCAAATAATCCGTGAAATTGAACAATATTTTAAACAAAAGACATGAACATGAAGATATCACTATTGTCATGTTAGTTAGACAAATTACTTGGAATGTTCCTGGACACTTTTAACTATCCAACTTATTATATATAATATCAGGATATTGTCCTTATTTTCATTAACCTCAACTGCAATTCATTGCTGATTATTTGCGCACTCTCACGTATACATTTGTGTTTTTTTTAAAACATTTAGGATTTCACACGAAACAAGGGTAAACATTAATCTAAATTCTCAAAATATCGGTTTTGAATTTTTATGTCATAAAGGCATATATATTGCACCAACTGATATCATAACTTTCAATATGAAACTTTTTTGAATTCGAATTTGTCGATGAAAAGTATCAGAAACTAATTTTCTATTTCCATGCACTGTCTCAAATGGCTCAATAAACCCTTCCATTTGCGAGCCATCCATACCTGAAGGAAATGCCTCTCGCAGATAAATAAGAGGGAGAGCAATTAGAAAGGTCAGAAATATTGACCTCTGACGTTTCAATGGAACTCCTAGGGGACCGACGGTACTTCGCGGTTAACCGGTGTTGCAAGTTTTGTGAGTGGTAAAGTGGATAATCTTCGGCCCTCCGTTCTAGGTCCTGTCGTCGATCATTGGCCGCCGAGATCTAGTCGGATAGGCTGATTTGAGCAAGTTATTAAATATTTTACTACCTGAACATGAACACAGAACGAGGGTGAAGCTTGAAATTTAAACTTTATTTCGACATTTCGTACTTGTTCGATAATGTAAATGTTTAACGAGCAGTATGTATTTGTGCCATTAATGGAGCGAAAAGATCTGTGTCCGGAATGTATCGAATTATTGAATCAGGTTAGCTTGTTTTCGGTTTCTGTCGAATTTCTTTACTGTACTTCATTGTTAACAAAATTTAAATCAATAAATAATATTAGGAATGGCCAAGAAGCGTAGGTGCACGTGAGAATACGCTACGTAAATCACTTAATTTAACGCCTCCTATGTCGTTCGTTGTGGTCGATAAAAAGACGGATAAGTTGGTGGGTCATGCAAGGTTATGTCCACTTCCGGCTATATCACAAAGTTGCTGGATCGAATCCGTTATCATTAGTAGCAATTTAAGAGGTAAAGGTTTGGGATGTTGGCTAATGGCACAGCTCGAAGATAAAGCTAGGAAGTTTGGTTTCAACAAGGTGAGTCACACTCTCGGTTATTTTCAAGTCTCAAGGATTGTATTCCAAGCAAACCACTAGAAGCAATAGTGCTATAGAGTAATTGTATAAGAAAACATTGCCAATATCGGGAAATTTACACAAAATCATATCCTGATGCTTATATTTCTTTCAGGCTTATTTATCCAGTAAAAATAAACAAGGATTTTACGCAAAATGTGGTTATTCGACTTGTGGACCAGTGTTTAATGTTGGTGCTAATACGGCGTTATTTGAGAGATTTGGTTTGGGAAGATCTTTCTCATCAGCGTTTAATGAATCCTGTAATGTATGTTGAGTATTTTTAATTTAAATTCAAAATTCTAGCCGGAGGTGATTTTTCAGGAAAATCTTTGTCAGCTTTATTTATATAGGTTTTACTTCATTTTTGATAGCTTTTCTGCATAACAACTTATCTGTTACTGTAGATGCATAAGATAAAACTTTCGGAAGTTCAAAAATGTAACTGCATGAATTTGAAATGTGTAATTAGACATGGCATTTAGAACTACATTATTTTTAGATTGATATAGCAAATTGTAATTTGCATTTCGTCGGAATACAAAATATAAATCTAAACTGAATGCAACATATCAGTTTCGAAAATTGCTCTCTTAATAACTGTGTAAAATTACTTTATATGGTTAACTCTTTAATTTTTTTAGATTTTATAGGGTTATATATGTCATTCCGGTAAAAGTCCTATTTTTTCAGGAGCGAATTACTCAGACTTCATTAAATCTTAGTACTTGTACATCTGCTCTTCAATCCGAAAAAAGCTTAGCAGTTTCACTACCAGCTCCTCCTCCTCCTTCTCCTCCTCCTCCTCCTCCTCCTCCTCCTCCTCCT